GGCTAATCTACATGCCTCCGTCGAAGGAGGCATGTAGTCTAGACACACCCTGACTGTGGGTTCTCATGAGAGTACACTGCACCGGGTGCATTTTAAAGCTGCCAGAGTCCCCTAGAAAGATAGGGGTCCCTTTTGGAGTTTGCATAGCTCTAACGGAGCGGAAGTTCAACCTAAGCACTGGGCTGGCGCTTGGATGAGTTTGGTTATATTCCCAGATCTGCCGCTGCGGTGCTAGGAGTCCTGAGGCAAGCCCTCAATTTCCCCATCTGTAAAATGGGGTAAAGCATGTGGGGATTTAGGGCCGACAAGTGCTGCATCAGAGCAAGAGCCATTATGAAATAAATCATAGTCAGTAACATCATGTCTTAAGAGATTGCTTGAAAGTCTCTCCTGTCCTAATGCGTACATGGCTACTCACCCTGTACTATAATTAGAGCTCATCAAAACTGTTCTTTGGAACATTGTTTTCAGTAACATTTGGATATTAAAAATACCTCAGAAACACTTTGATTCTCTTGAACTTTTCCATTTTTTATGAAAAACTTTTTGGATTGCTTTCGCTTCTTCTTTATTGGTTTTTATTTACTATTTGCATTTTTTCCATTGCAGATTTTAGCTGGGCAGGTTGGAGTTACAAATTGCCTACTGAACACTAGGAAAATTTCATTTTCAAATAGCTTCAAGACTAACAAAAAACTTTTAATAAACAAAACTGATCCATTCTAAAATCCAGGGGGAAATATGCCTTATCTCGAATATTTCACAAATATGTGTTATATTTTCGCAATAGAAGATCTTCTCTGTAAATCTATTGATTTTTCTCAGCCTGTTGGTTAATTAAGAAAGATTTCATGGTACTACAGTATTGTTTGATTCCTAACTATCCCTGTAGCTCAGCTGACAATGGAAGCAGAGCTGCATGTGACCTCCCGCTGGCAAGATTTTCTATTTATGTATTTAGTTAGCTACAAAGAAATGTCCCGATTTTGCATTACAGAGACTAACATGCAGGCATCTGAGGCATCTGCTGAGGACACTGCTGAAACATAATAAAGAGGGAGTGCCGTGCAATGGATCAGGTGCAGCGCTTGGAAACCCATCCCTGTTCTTCACCTCAGACAAATGAGTCTCCATCCCTAGAGGTGTTTAAGCCTCGGCTTGACAAAGCCCTGGCCGGGTTGATTGAGTTGGGGTTGATCCTGCTTTGGGCAAGAGGCTGGACTTGATGACTCCTGAGGTCTCTTCCAGCCCTGGGGTTCTAAGATTCTATGATTTTGCTCTTTCTTTTTTATTTTATGTTGTGGGAAAGCTTAGAACTAGGCTCAGATATGAGGCCTGTTGCGCTGGGTGATGTCCAAACACAGCAAGGACAGTCTAAATAGACAGGACAGACAAGGGGAAATGGTCTCAGAGAGGCAAAATGACTCACCCAAGGCCACACAAGAGGTCAGTGGCAGAACCACTGTTAGCAATCCCAAACCCGAGGTGCGGGACACATCCCGTTTTCTTGCTTCAGTTGTATGCACTTTGGGGCACGTATGTGTGTGTGTAGCAGGCAGCACAATCAGCCCCGGATTTCGGCTCGGGCCTGGAAGCATTAAAATTGTCCCCGGTGGGCAAGGCCGGACTGAGCCATTCCGGCGCCCTGGGCAGACAGTTTAATTGCGCCCCAGGTTGTGGGTGGGCGCATGCGTGGCCCCGGCCCTGCCTGGAGCGTTGGGAAGGGCGCGCGGAGCTGGTGGTGGCAGGTTGCACGTGCCCGGCCCGGCCCAGCCCAGTTACTGCTGCTGGCGCACAGCCCAGGACCGCCCGGGGCGGGGAGAAGGGTGCTGCTGGCCGGCGCTGCGGGGGTTAACGCAGCCCCTCCCGGCTGCTGTAGCGTGGCTGCTGGGAGCTGCTGCAGCCTGCTCCTGCCCCTTACAGCTGCCATCAGGCGCCCCCCATAGGTTGGCGCCCTGGGCAGCTGCCTGGCTAGCCCATGCCTTAATCCGGCCCTGCCGGTGGGAAAGGCTCCCATTAAATTTAGAGAGTTTGGGTCCGGTCTCTAGGGCAGAGTTATTGATGGCCTGTCATTGGGAGTTGGGGGCCTAAATACCTTCACCGAGCTACCCCAGGTGAGCAAAGTGCTGCTCTCATGGTTGAGAAAGTCAGCTGCACTGATGCTCGGTGTGTAAGCGCTGGTCCGGGTGGGGTGTAGCCAGAAGGCCGCCGTACAGTGCCGAACACAAGGTGTCCTCTCTGCTGATGGGCAGGGCTTACAGAAGAGCTCAAACCCCGTCGCACGTCCTGGTGAAGACAAGGCTGGGTGAGCACGTTTGCGCTTCATGCACGGTTGAGGTTCAGGGCCCTGGCTTGGGAAAACATCCCTACTGAGGGCATGTGTAAAGCTTATGGGATTCGGGAGCATCTGGCAGATCCCCCATTTCATGTACGCTGACCTTACGAGCTACCACTTCTCTGAACCGGTTACCCCTCCGTCCGCCAGGCGCGCGTGTCTGTGCTGGAGCAGCGAGCAGTAGGCTCGGGGGGCGTTTGACCTTTCTGCACCCTGATGAAATCCAGCATGGCGGGTGGAAACGCCCCATGGATGGGGGTGGGGGTGGGGTGGAGGATTAGGAGAGGGCAAGGGGAGCTATTGAGACTTGCAGCCAGATAGACAGATTCCCCCACCTTTTATGGGACTAAGATATAAAATTAACGAGTCATGAAAATGACTTAACGCAGGAGACTTAATAGTGGGAGGATCTTTTTTTAACATAACTACTATTTTCCATCACCTCAGCTTGTCTGGGTGGAGGTAGCCGTGGAGACCTCCAGGGAACGAGCCGGAGCTGAGACAAAGGCGTGTCTGTGACTCCTGCCCCCCGTCCACTCCAGGCTGTTCCGGCTCCTCTGAAGGGCAGCGGACGAGGATCCGGACTTGTCTCCAGCAGCGAGCGCGCCCTTCGGAGAAGAGGGGGGAACGGTTTGGATGCAGCCCAAGAACAAGGAGGCTACACACGTCTGCATTCTTCTTCCTCACACCTCAGGTGTCCCTCTGTTTCCTAGGGCACAGCTCACCCGGGCCTTGCTCTTTAATTACAGCACACGTCCCGGAGGGTTTGCCCAGGCAGTAGCAGGGGCAGGTTCTTGCAGGTTACCTGGTAATTACACTTCAAGCTACTGAATAATCCCGAGATGAATTACCATGTAATTTTCAGGCTGGAGTGGGCGACGTCAGAGCGCAGTTTGGAGGACAGGGTCTATTCTTGTCTCACTTCTGCACCCGGCACGCAGCACAGAGACAACAGCACCCGCACGCTCTCCCGGGAACGCACCGTTGGTCCATGGCCAGCAGCTTTCTCCTCCCGGTGCTGCTGGGCTCCTGCTAAGAGACACGATGGGCGGTGGGCACCTGCGGCATCCAAGGGCCTTAGCGGAGGGCCAGGCCGTGTCCTTTGCAAAACCGCCCGAGAGCAGGGCTGAGGATCCTCTGGCCACCCGAGAATTTCACACGTGCCGAGTGTCCGAAGCATGGCGCTGTTCCGGCAGCAGTGAGGAGGCGCCACGGAGTGCAGGGGGGTGGTTCAGGCTGTCCCCGAGTGAGCACCCACTGCAAGGACCCTGGTAACGTCCCTAGGCGCCAGCAAGAAGAGGGCAGGTGGCTCTGTGGGCTCCACACGTGGCTGCAAAAAGCCGCCACGTGGGGCGTAACCGGAACCGCCTGGGAGGCAGATGCAGAGGCACCCGGCTCTGGAACAAGTCTCCTTTGGGCCCCTTGGCCCAGGCCCTCAAAGGTCTTTAGGTGCTGAGCTCCTGCCAGCTGGAACCAGGCACAGGGCGCCAGCAAGAAGAGGGCAGGTGGCTCTGTGGGCTCCACACGTGGCTGCAAAAAGCCGCCACGTGGGGCGTAACCGGAACCGCCTGGGAGGCAGATGCAGAGGCACCCGGCTCTGGAACAAGTCTCCTTTGGGCCCCTTGGCCCAGGCCCTCAAAGGTCTTTAGGTGCTGAGCTCCTGCCAGCTGGAACCAGGCACAGAGACGTTCTGTGGATCTGGGCCTCAGACTCTCTGTAGCCTGTCTCCGGCCACCTGGCAAGAGAAGGCTGCAGCTTAAAGAAGCTTCTCCCAAG